TAAAGTGATAACACATTGCCATTGTCCATTTGTATAGGCACAAGATTGGTTTGGTTCACAGTCGATATTACTACGACAACTATGGCTGCTGGTAACCGATAAAGAATTAGCATATAACGGTGGACGACATCGAAATTGCTGTAAAAAGAAGACGATGATACCAATTCAACTATAATAGCCTTTTCACTTTTTGCTCTATTACCTTTTCCTTTTTTTGAGAGAGAGGAGAAAGAAATTAGAAGAAGTTTTCAGTCAGTTATTATTTAAAAAAAAAGTCGTATTTGAGAGGTTTGATAAGATAAATTATTGAATGATGTATGAACCTTTTGTTGCGATGTACCAACATTAATACATTTCCAGTTGCCAGAACAATCAAAATCAAAAACACAGCCTCGTTCTACAGATGCATTATAGGAATGCTTACAAACAAAAACACCGGTTGCATTTCTTTCACATACCTGTAATACAATTCAACAGTTTCTATATGTATTTAAATTACTAAATTTAAACACTGATATGAACTGATTTTGCTGCACATATACAAAAATTTCTACATGTTTTAACTGTTAGTATTCTTAGTTTTTTTCTTCTCTTTTTTTTTAAGATATATACCGCAGCCGCCATTTGACAGAATTTTAATTTATCTAAAAAAAATGAATAACTAACTTTTAAAAAAAGTTGAATAAATGAGAAGACAAAAAATAGTATTTACCTCGCCAATCCGACACTGCGAGTTAAACAAACAAACTTTACCCTCTCTTAACAATTTCTGTGTACAAACACGTATCTCTTTCCCGTTAATATTAGCCCACATAAGGCAAATTTCACCGTAGGGACACTTAAACAGTTTAGATGTTAATGTGTAGTTAAAAAAACTCTTCTAAATGTAAATTTTAATAAAGTATTTAAATCTTAATATTTTACCTGTAAGTCAGAGATACATGGAATAAAGGCATTTGCAGATGTTCCAGCTCCTGTACCAATATTCGGAATTTCGTTTGTAGGACGCGGTACTGTGCCACCACCAATTTGCGGATTCGGCTTAGCTCCACTACCAATTTCCGGTGGACCAATAGTGGGGTTTGGCTTAGCTCCACTACCAATTTCCGGTAGACCAATAGTCGGATTTGGATTAGCTCCACCACCTATGCGCGGTAGTACAGCAACATTTGAATACGGCTTTACTCCGCCACCTATCTGTGGTATACCACTGGGCAAATATGAATTTACTCCATCACCGATCTGTGGTACACCGGCATTTGGACTTGAATGCGTTCCTTCACCTATCTGTGGTACAGCGGCATCTGGACGTGGCTGAGCTCCATCACCTATT